CATTTTCTTCTCTTAGTCACTTAGCTGTTACCAAACACATCACTAGTGAAAATGCTGAGATTGATACTATCTGAGAGGTGGATGAGGCCATTGCTGGTGTTGATGATGATAGTGAGGATTCTCAAGAGAGATCTGGTGTTGAAATGGTCAATGTTGCAGATGATATGAATTGGCCTCTGGAATTTTGAGGCTGAGTCAGTGTAAGCTGAAAAAAGATGCTGCAGAGATTCTCTACTATTATAGAGGCAGAAATAGAGTATTGAACAATGGGTAAGGATTATAGCAGAGGAACATCATTGAATCTCACTCTCATCATTATATGGAACATCTTAGAAGATAGTCTGAGAACAGAATGAATTTATCTCTACTGTGGAATGGCTCTCTATCTATACTGGCCTCTGATGTACACATGCTACTATCCATATCCATTCTTTCTTTCTACTTTCTGATCCACCTCCACCTGATTGCCTGACACCTTCTGTCTTATGCTCCCAACACTTCCAATGATACCATGTTTGAGCCAATTCTAAATGCTATCAGGGCTGGTATACTATAATCTAGCTCAGGAGTTTATTATCATGACTGGCAGTGAAGTATAAGATCCAGCTAGCACCCAAACCAGAAGTGAAAAGCAAAGCAAAACTCATTAGCCTATGGCTAGCATATCAGGTCTGGTGCAAAATGCATGCAGTGAGGATTTCTCAGACATGAATGATTAAAGAGACATATAGTTCAGGGGATGAGCCACAACCAGGGAGCTCAACTGCCTTGGACCACTATGATCAATCAATCATGATCATTAGCAAGTCCAGAAGTAACAAGCAGAATCACAGGATGATTGATTATATAGTAAATAATCATGGACTATAGAAATAGAGTGCTGGTAGAGTTCTGGATCACCTGAAAAGGAGATATAAGACATGCCAAGGCAGGATAACAATCTAATTTCAGGCTAGCCAAGGAAAATGAGTAATCAGATCAAGTTATTTATAGATTCTGTATTAGTTAGTTATGTCTAAAAGCAGGACAAGGGGGAATCATGCAGGAGGCAATCCACCCATGTGATTTAGGCATTCTAGCTCTCAGTAGTTAGTCCCTGTATCAGCAGTTTTGTGTGTAATCTCAACTTGGATAGCTATTGTTACTAAGTCACCTTTATTAAATAAGAGTTGAAGTCTCTATCAGACTTTGGGTTTTGGTATAATTTGGATTCTGGATTAATAAGGGTTTCAGCATCTGAGTATCAGTTCTCTAGTTTCAAAGACCACTAGCTGGCCACAGGTGCAGCTGGCCAAGTTTCAGTGCTTGAGAGACTTGGTATTGGGTTTCAGAGTATTCTAAGTTAAGCTGAGCATCATAGCTCTATATTTTAAGTCTCAATTCACATACTACATCTTATTCCTATCACCCCTGTGAGTATTGCATCTTAGAACACAAACTAGCATTGAATAAAATGCTTTTATATCTTCATATTTGATTTATCTGAATCTGCAGAGTGCTTCTATCATACTCAAACTGCCCAAACTCACTCATATTGGTGACCATATATTGAGTGGTTAGGTGTTAGTGTTTGAGGGTTCATTTCTCATTCATCTCTCTTAGTGGCTTAGCCATTTCCTAGCACATCAGCACATGTCACAGTCTGACATGCATATTCTGCTCTGGGTCAGGACTGTCTTTTGTTTCTATGCAACCTGACACTGGTTATCTCTATTAGTGGCCTGGCCACCTCTCTCTTCACTCTTATCTCCCCAGGGCAATTAATCCATGCACAGGAGTCATTCTAGACTCCTGAGATCATTTCTGGTCATTTCTTTCATCAAATCTTCTCATTTCTCAGCCAATCTCTCTGATATTTCGATTTATCTCATTGTGCACCAATGCTCTATTCTATAACATGACCCTCAGCAATTGAATGCCTGTGCATCATTGATCAATGTGATGTGAAGCCACATGCAAAGCTCTCATTGTATTTTGATTGTGTACTCTTTACTTTTAATGGGTCTTTCTGTACTTGTATTAGCCCAATTAGTGTCAAGTGCTGGGACCACATGTGCAGTGTCACCTCCTCTGGTATCATTCTACTGCTAGGCCATGCTCTCCACCCTTCATCACTCAAGCCAGCTATCATACAAGTCTCATTTCACTGTGCTCTAGCCATATTCTTTATTGCATGTATAGTAGACTGTGATACAGTCAGTGTATTGTCATAACTTACAAAATTACATGCCTGAACATGCAGTGAGCATGTTATTGTAATACAATGGCACAAGTTGTCTGGTATAGTCATAGCAACTGGTCCATGGTTGCCAAGCACCTGAGATAAGATAGATATTCTGATATGATAAGATAAGATAAAAGATAAGTAGAAAAGTCATAACAAGTATGCACTAATTGCACTGGCACCAATCTCTTCTAATCTAGAAATCAAGATGTCTCTCATACTCCAGCACAAGAACACCAACACCAATTTATTTTTATTACCTATCATATTTCTCCAGGTTAAGCCTGCATCATCAACTCAGATCTATAAAAATATTGCCACACTAACTCACAACCTGCAACTCTTCTCTGTTCTGGATGTTATCCAATCATTACTCTATCTTCTGATCCTAGTTATTTCACTTCTAACAGCCTCAGATTGTCAATGACCCATGAGAGCACTGGCAGCACTGCTCATCAGTGATATGATGATATTTTTGAACCACTCTCAGAGCTTAACTTCATAGAGCATCTCATATAGTCAATCATGATCTACTGTGAATTCAAATTTGCAAAGCTAGAAAGAGTGTGTTCACTAAGCAACAGCAGGAGTGGATGTATGTTGTGACCTTAGTAAGCTGTTCTTTCTTCTTTCATAGGCTGTGAATCTAATATCTGTACTGTAGCTTTTAGTGTTTATTGCACAAATTCTAATTTGATTTTCAACTAACATTCAACTGTAACTGAGCTGCTTCTGCTATAATATCTGGGCTTGGACTGGTATGTGACATCTAGTTTATCAGTTAATTATCAGTTTGGCCACATGTCCACTCTCATGCAGAGGTCTATAGATCTCTTTGATACATATTTCTTCTTCTCATTCTTTGTGTGCATACTGATGCTGTGTTTACTGGTATCCTTAGTGTGCTTATTGAAATTCTTGGGAATCACAGTGTATGTCACCAGTTCTGATATGATGTTGATCATGGCTGTCTTTGTTGGAGCAGAGATGATGATGCAGCTGTGAGTGTTTGCAGTCTATTTAAGATTCATGTGAACTAGAGTGGGATGTGAGCTGAGAATCATGTTTAGACGAAGTTGTTGATTTTACTAGTTCATGTGGTTTGATGTGTTAAAGTGAGCTATAATTCCAATGGTTTTATCTATAGAGATTTAATTAAAAGTAGCATCATTATCTATAGTGGATTATTGAGAACACTGACAAGTATCTCATGCAAGATGATCTTAAAAAGATATATATGTTAGACTCAAGCTTCATGTGATTGTAAACACATGATAAACTGACATCACTTCACACTCCAAGTGGAACATCAGAGTTCACTGATGTGAATATTGATCATTGTGATACAAGGCCTTAGGGTTGGCTTGAGAATAGAATGGTGTGAAGATAAACTTTAACTCGAAGCTGGAGATTACCAGTGAGAGTGAGCCTCCTTATATACTACAGATTGTGTGTGCTATAATTAATGCTACTTATTATGTGTCCTTGAGTTATTGTGCTCATTGTCCTTGAGTGTCATGATGCCCTTCAATAATACATTTGTGCATCATTGGGCAATCATGTTGTGTTGAAAGACAATGACCAACTAGGCTTGTTGTGATGACAAAGCCAGTCTCATGGTCTCAAGCACCTGTGTTAAGCACCCTGACTAAGCATAAATAGGGGTTAATTCATAAGAAAAGAAAAAGAAAAGGTGAAAAATTGTAACAATATATCACATGGTATCAGGTTCAAGAAAGGCATTGTCAAAGACTGTCTGGATAAAGCAAGTCAGTCAGAAACCTGTTTATTCTCTGATGCTTTCCAATCCTTCATTTCATAGAATTGGTCCTAGCACTATCAAGTGACAGAGAATACAGATGCTCTTCTTAAGACATATTTGTCATTGTATTTGGCTCTGTCCCATCAAGCATCCCTCAGGCCTCACATTGAAAAGTGTTGCATTCATGAACTCTGCTCTGCAGCAGCAAATTTTCTATAACCTTTATGCCTCTTCTTTGTTCTTACTGGAGATGAAACTTAAGTGAATATTCAAGACACCAACATCCTGTAATAATACTGAACTCTATAATTGCCTCTCAGATCACCAAGAATACAAGAAAGTTTTATGTCTCTGGCAGCATTCAAATCTCAGTCAGCTTTTCTCATACTTGTTATTACCCATAAAGAATACCTTATGTTAAGCTCGTTCTCCAATTCTCATGGTGGGACTAGCTGATTGCATGCGCTGAGGAGGCTAGGGGATGCATCTTAGCCAGATATCAATATACCTAACCAGAAGAAGGCAGCCCTTTTCCCGTTTCTCTGATCTTTCGGTTACTGATCTTTATTTCAAGAACAAGCCTTTCAAACCCTCTTTGCGGAACTCCGAACCGATCTTTTCCCGCCAAGTCAGTGCACTATCTCTTTATTGTCACCAATTCTGGGGCATGTCTCGGTATTCTACACAAGCAGTGAGTACTGCTCTTGGTATATATAACACATACATTATTTAACTCCCTTCAAGCTTCGAATAGTTCCATCTATCATGTACCTTCATCGTCATCCGGTGTCCAGTACGAAGAAATTTTGATCACGTCTGCATTTTTCAGGCTGTTCTTAATGCCTCGGTTCATACATTCCTTCCTTTATGATTCACCAATCCGTCCGGCGTCAGTTGAATTGGCTATGATCATCCCCATGAATGAACTCGTGACATACGGTTCCTACAACGAGGCACCATGGGACTTCTATCAAAGGTCCTTGGGCACGACCCTCGATCACTGACATGCGCTGGGAAATATTCTTCCTTCCTTCCCACCATCATGGCGAAGAAATCCAGAAAAAAGGAAAATTCGATCACTCGTCCGACCTTGGTCGCGTTGAAGGGCATACAAGCGTATATCAAGAGCGTCGCAGGTTTGGCTTCGACTGTGCTGGAGATCATCGACGTGCGTTCTCGCTGACCTGATTTAGACCGATAAGCTAATTAACGGGATATAGACAGCCTCTACGAATAGAAAGGATATCGATGAATTCGTCGAGCGCATCTGGAATACGATCACCACGTTAAAAACCGTTGCAGATCGGTACTCTAGAGCAGGTAACGGGGACGTGTCTGACGTTCAAGGAGTGTGCGACGATTTTCAGCAGTACGTGTCCATGCAGTTTCCATGCTCGTCGACATCTCGTAACAAGCAGATCAGGTGCCTCGAGGAGATCCTCAGCGAGATGCGTGAAATACAGAAGGGGAGCGCTGATAAGAGCAGGATAATGCAGTATCTGATGATCACAGACGTGCGCGATAAGATCGACAGTTTTGTACAGCGGGCCGGTAACCTACAGAGAGACTTCGATATATGTAATTCTTCGACTCGAACTGACTGTCCCATTGCTTATACACGTTCTTTAGACCGGGACAGTCGTCGAAACACGTGCCATTGCGTTGTCGATTCGTCATGACATGAACTCCGGCTTTGGCGCTATAAAATCCTCGCTCGATCGTCTACATATAGCAACCAAAGATGGACGTATGAGCCTCGAGCAGCGTCTATATGCTGTCCTTCGGGACGATCTACATCCTGTTATATCTAGCAACCATGACGAACTGCTTACGGCAATCGAGGCCAGTAAAGGCATTTACAAAGGCGTGGTACATACAATGCGCCAATTTCCCTATCCTGATCTAAGAGACGTCTAGATTCGAGAAATTATAATGGGAGAAATTAATCTTGGACACCGGACATCTTCTTGCATAAAAAATTCCGATCTATTCTACAGACCTGATTTTGTTGAACACAAATGCATTGTCAACGGAGACACCAAATTAATTCGTATTTACCGAGGCTATCCGGAATTCGAAGAGAATGATCTGAAGGTTAGTAGATATTTGGCACTTCATCGCTTCTAGCTGTCATATGAGATATGACTGGCAACTGCGCAGGTTCTTTACAGAGATTTGGAGCGATTGCTTTATGTCCAGTCAGTTTAGTATATAATGTACTATTTCATGCTCATTCATGAAACATAGCCATGAAAATGTTTCTCAATTGTTTGGGGTCTGTCACACTGCACAATTTCCTGCACTGATCTACCACGACCGTTCGTAATCAAGATCCATTATTATATCTCACATAGCACTGACATCCTGTGATGGGGAAATCACACAGTCGGACTGTTCATGATTATAGGATATCATTGGATATCTTACAACACATCGCGTTTAGAGCGCAGCTTGTAAGTCCCAGAAATATAATATTTAGCTGCATTCCTTACGAGCTTTTTGAATCCCTTAGATGAAAGACATGCGGGTTAGTGTGTATTTAAGTCATCCTATTGTCACTTATTCTTGCAGTCTGCCTACTATCACGTTAAATCAGTGACTAGCGTCTTGATCCCATATGTCAGTAGGCACATGGTACTCACGTGTCCGCAGAACTTTAGACCAAACGCAGTGCATGTTGACAATAATGGACGGATACTACTTGATCTATTCTTAGATGATCGATTTGCTCCTCTGTACCATTGGACGAGGCTTGCCTGCGAACTTCTGGACTGAGAACCCCCCGTATTTGTGCCTAAATACATAAGGCCTCCGCCATGAGGTTATGATGACTCTCATTACTGCGCTCATGAACAATATGATCTTTTGCGCTGTTGCATTCCAATTGATGATATCATGGACGAAAAAGGGATGGAAAATCTTGCAGCCAAGGCCCAGGAGTTGACGACTCCTGGGCGTTGTTTGAGTAAAGATGATGTCCTCAGCATTTACGACATTCTTAGTTGCACGACCGTAGGAACCGTATTGACGATGAAAGAAAGATTCAGCCTCGGTTCGGTCATTGGAATTCAACGGCATAGCCCTAATCCCCAATACATGCCGCGAAGGTTTTCGCAACTTCAATTCCTCGCTTCAATTCCTTTACGTCGACGTTCTTTGACAGAGTGACATATCACGATTCATGATCATGGGTTTCTTCCTGTCAATTCAGAGTGCAGACATCTAAAGCTGCCCAATGACGGGTATGTCAATGGGTGAAACTTAATGATTTTCAACTTACTTATGTCCTGCAGACTTGTATTTTCGTGTTCAATCGCAAAAATTCATCAGCATTTACTAATCAGACCAATTTATTCAACTTCCTCTCCATGCGGCGATGAGTCAGACACGAAGATATGCGATTTCGCTCCAATAGACCACTGCGTATCAGCGGAGATGAACGCCTCGTTCGCTCAGGCTGTTCAAATTCCAAGGGCTCATCGTCATACTGGTATGGACCATATCGGAGTCGACTGGTATTCTGCGCTTTTATTTGGTGAGTCTTCGATCTCGCTCAATAATAATAAAGATGGTCTGACACAGTTCCATTGAAGATGTTCGCTTTGCGCTATAAATTGATCAGTCACACAACAACGAGAAAGATGTTAATCTCTCAAAGATGTATGACCGATATATTCAAGAAGTCCATCCAGATTCTTCCTCTTCCCAATTACGTCTTCATATCAGCTCCGGAAACATTTATCTGGCTGTCAGACCCCCGCATGAGATTTCAACCCCAGGGCTTGAAGGCCAGGCCTGCAAGCCAGAGTTTGTGTGGTCGCTGACACCAGACTTTGGGGAGATAATATCGACGGAAAATACAAAGAATATATTCAAGATTAGGATACGTGAAACGGCTGTGTATGGTGCGTGTGTCCTGGAGAGGCGAGACTATGGATTTCTTCGCACTATACATGAAGCTTGTGGATTCAAAAACAAGCATGATGGAAAGGATATATCCTGCTTCTTCGATTTTCCTCAAATGACGATGTACCCGTGCCAGCCATATATAGGATACCGACTCCAAGGATGGCCTGCCTGTGACGCATGTTGGGGCGTGCATATCCCATTAGTTGATAACTTTGGTATTGATTGGGCGACAACACCACCATCTCCCTTATCCTCACGACTTCCTTCTTCGTGTTCCAATCATTCTATGTCAGTCCAATGTACCTCATCTATCTCTGAACTGTCAACTCGTCCATGGTGGAGTATTTCCAGACTTAATGTATTCATGGCGATTTTAGGATTACTGACCATATTCGTCGTCTCAAGAGACGGCATTTTAGGTCATGACGAAGCACATTTTACTATCAGATACGGAGGGGATGATGGAGAAAGTAATCCTCTTTAATCGTATGACATGTCTTAGGTAATTGTAACTTCGCGAAATTGTACTTGGATCCGAAGCTATCATGTCATTGGTATGCTACATTATAAGATTTATTATGCCAGTAACATCTTTAGCTAAGACACGATGAGCAAGATAAGTTATTTGACCTGACATTAGTCGGTTTCAACAGACTTATACTACCCCAATCGACGGCACCATCAAATATCTGCCTCATAATACCTCGAGTAAATCGCATATATTGTGTCGCTACCATATAGTCATTGGCGGAAAATAAGGTTTGGACGCAAGACATACCTGTGGCCCTCTCAGGATCCTCCAGCAAATTCTGACTGTGAAATATGCAAAAGCTGGTATTATCTCATGGTGATAGATTACTGCGCCTAGCGTGTAGCTGACATTCCAGCTGAAGTAGCCCTCCAAATATATGAGCCTGAGATTCCATCCAGAATTGTTCCGGAAGAGGTAAGTTTCCTTCCCGCGAGACACGAGAGACATAGCCACCGATAGCGAGAGCGGGAATTTCTGAGTACCTCATTATGTCGAAGCAACGATGAAGAGCCCCATGATAAAAGGCAAAGAGAAGGAATACGGAAAGGTTGAAGGCAGTTTGTGCATCTCCACATCTGTCAAGGCTGGAAGCAAGCCACTCGGGAAGGCGGATCATTATTGTTCGATCTTCTCGGAGCACAGAGATGGACAATTGCTCAGTGATGGACTGATTTCCGGCGCGGTAGGTGCATATGTCGATGGAGGCAACTGCGGCGTGGAGGAGCAAGAGAATGATTTCGTTACTGGTGTCTCTTGGGAATATTACGGCGATAGGTTCCTGCCAAGTAGCATCCGTGCGATCCAACAGTTTTTGACGAAAATAGTCCCAGCATCGTCGAAGGTGATTGTAGGAACAAACATTGTGCTTTCCCTTGCCGTCTAAAGCAACCATCACAATCAGGCTCGCCCATAATATACCAGCCACACGAAGAAGCGACGCCGACGTACGAACACTGTCATAGACATGAAATGTGTTCGTAGCCATCGTAGACGCCTTCTGTCAGTGTATATTGAAACTGGCTGAGTCCTGAGGAATACATGGTTATGAACTGAGTTTTATACGCGGAGATGGATTATGGTATCGCCTAATTCAGCCTTCAGTACAGGTAAACTTTGCCACAGACCGTTGAAAGCATGAGCAAGCGAGAATAGCCTAGAAGCATTTAGTTATGCATTGCCTCAAATGTGACATGATGAAAGGATCTGCGACTCGTTACACGAATTGGCGATCGAATACGAGAGAAACTGCTTGAAGAAGTGTCCAAGCGGCTTGAAGTGAATCCTGACGGCGAGTAGACATGTTTAAGCTTTCCGGTAGTATCCGTAGACCCGGAGGATGAAAATATCGAAATATATGCTCGGATTTGAGAGAAAACTAACTGGTCGCTGTGGCGGCAGAGACAAGAAAAGACGGGTACATGTCAGACTACCGCGGCTACCCACGTTTGCCCTTGGAAAAGGTCCGGCTTGATCACGCTCTTTCGAAGACATTGCTGAATGTTCATCCGAGTCGGCTTTGCTCGCTACCGATACGAGATTTCCTGACTGTATATACCTTGGCACTTGTCGTTGGTGGTCTGTGGTCGGGAAACAATGTTTCGAGTGAGCGCAAAAAGAAACAAGGAGGAGAGTCAGGGGACGAGATCTGTATTTTCTTGCGAATATATTTCTAACTATGGCGCTTGTTGGCCCATGTCCTTGACAATCGCTCGTTCATAAGAGTCAGATGCCCAAGCTTAGATCAAAGGTCCTTTCTGAAAAATGATAAGACGGAGATAGGATTGTGATGCAGGAAGAACCTAGAACGTCTTCCTGCAGCCATAGGATGCCTTTAGGAGCCAGAAATCACAAGCTTTCCCTGCTATTGGTACACGTTAGCCAAACGAGGACCTTTGATCACTGCTACTATCAGAGCTGTACTCCCGTTTGGTGGGAACGGATAATATGGCAGTTCGCGTCATGCCCAAGATGGTTGGTTACGATGGAAAAATATGGATTCAGCATGAACGTGACGTTAAATGGAATCTGGTACTCCTTTTAGAGCGGCCTACGGAGTACGTATATGAGGGGCCTTGTAGAGCGCTTTCATCCCCCACCCTTTCGTGTCTTTCGTGCAGCTCTACAGGGACGTAGTCTTCGGACAGTGTGTCCCTCGACCATGAGAGCATGACAGAGCCGACCTTCTCAACTGCTGTGGAGATACGCCGTCCGATTCCTTAATCTGATCACGCTTTCGAGGTCTCGTAACAGTGTTCGTGGCCATGAAAAGGTATCCTTGTTGGTGAGCTCTCGACTAGCACACCGCACATTCTACCTGGTACAATTTTTGTCACAGACAGGATCTTAAAGGTCGGAATGCATACCACAGTCGCGCAAGCCATGCTGAACAGTATTTCCAGGGCAATCGGTAATTGCCTTACCAGATTCACCGATATGCAATTACCGCTCGAGCGCTCCACATGAATCCATGGTACGTGTGCAGTGAAAGGCGCGATAGTCATTCTATACTGATTGAAGGCAGGAATAAGGAAAAACCGGCATCCGGTCCGAGCCAGTGATAATTTCGGACCACGACATCGAACTTATTGTTCGCAGTGGTCATGTTCTCTATGACTCTACCTTCTGCTTTTACAATACGCCAGGTCAGTCGCAACAATTTTTCTTCAACAGTCCTAGTCAGAGCTCAGAAACACGAAATTCCGCCGTCCCGTCAGAGTTGTAGAAGACATTCTGGGTATTTATTTATCTTACCACAGGTTGCACTATGCTGACCACGGTTATTCTAGGATATATCAATGTTGCCAATACCGTTTTTCTCACTGAGATGAAACCCAGGCCGTATCATACTGTTCTTTTTCTTCCACGGGGAACTGGCCCATGTGTGGCACCTTGACAGTGGCACAAGTAAACCTATTCTTTTCGTCTCCATTCATTATTTACTGATCTTCAGATCGACTCTTGCATTCCTTGCTCAAGAATAACAGTTAATTCTCTGGGACCGTGGTTCGCTGGGCAAATGGATGACGATATAGTACAAAGCTGCGCTACCAACGATGGGAAGCTGCAATATCCCTGAATCCTGCCCTAAAGTTCACGCGACCCTGATGCGTCTCCTTTTTCCATTTAATATTTTCTGCTCCTAAAGGTTACCCGTCGTGCTTTTGCTCTCGTCATACCAACATCTTTTCCACGGAAGACTCTTATTTTAATGTAAGTCTCTCTTCCTTGCCTCGATCGGAAAGCAAAGAGAGATAGGTCATCACAGGGGCGAAGTCTTTCTAGGGTCAAACATTAGGTTGGCTGGCGATGTATCAAGATGTGCTCAGGACTCAAATCTTGTTTGATCAGATGTCTGCTTCTCTTTTAATCTTGTGAAGTCCCAGCTCACCCCTTTATTGGATCGACGAGATTCATAGCCACGTGTCTTCTCCGCACAATCCAAGTCTCATCATCGTCGAAGCTGCATTCAATAGAAACATGGACCCGACCGATTCCGCCTCCCTGTCGATGCCTCTCTCTGAAGAAGTTGTTGCTCTGGTCGTGTTAGATAACTTCTTTTTTGCGTTAGGTATCTGCTGCCTAATCTGCGACGTTGGTTTCGCTACTCAACGATCAATTTTGATAAAGGGAAAGCGATTCGGTTCGCGTGTTCTGGGAGACGTTTCTTTCTCTTTTGGCCTGCTCATTGGCTTTCGGCTTATGTTGCAGGTCGGCATGGCTCTCTGCTGCTTGACGCAGTCCTGAAGTTGGTAAGAGGTTTGGTAGTTGGCAATAGGTAGCTCCAAACAGGTAAGTGCACTGAGCGACCATGTTTAATTCGTTTATCGCCTATGTATACACAAGACGATTTCACTTAGCCCCGATAGGCTCAGACAAGAGTACCAAAATACCACGCTGGACCTCTGCTGAGATTTGACTCGACTTTCCCTCCTCTCTGTTATGCTATTGTGTACTTAGAATAGGCATTGGGGATTAACTTGTCTGAGCCTCAGTCTGGATTTGACGACCGCGCAGGCCAGTGGTGTCGGCATTGCAAGGAAAGTGTGTGTCTGTACGGAATTAGGTTGCATCGCCTCTCTATTACTAGCCGGATAGGATTTTAGGGTTAAACGTTTATCCCATAATGGTCTAATTCACCCTTCTTCCTCGGATCTCAGACAACTTTAAGGGTTTATCATTACACCTAGATTGAGGAAATACCGTTTGCAGCGACGTCGGACTCAGACTTGATACGTCCAACCTGTGTCTTATTTATCTCGGATCTTCTACTTTGCTAAAGTTTAAATCCCTCCCTCCTCCCTGAGCTAGCGTTAGGCAAGGTGGCAACCAATGTTCGGATGCGGTGTTTCCAATCTGGGAACAACACACTCGCAGCGCAACGACTCACTTCACATCACCTGAAAGTGTTTTCTCTTCCTCAAAAAGCTCAATCTTTGGTGTGGGTGGGTCACTTCCCTTCTCCTTCCTCCTCAATAATGGGTTTCTATAACTATTCCTACCGGTCTATACACCCAGTCGCTATTCCCGGCTACCTGGACGCGTCTATTCTCAAAACAAAGATCATATACAGGATAGACTCGCTGTCCTCGCCGAATCAGCCTGCTGGGCTCCTCGCCAGCCTGAGCGGACCATCGAAGAAGTTGATATGGATCCTCCGCCCCTCTGTTCTCTGCCGCCACTTACGCGGTGGTTCAAGACGGGCTCGTCCTCGTCCTCGCAGGTCGGCTCTTTTTTTGGCGGTGCTTACTTAACGCTCTTTATAGAACGCTGCCGATAACTAGATACATGGCGAATCGAACCGCAACAAGTCGTTTGCAGAAGTTGCGGGAAGGCCATCCAGCTGGAGAAAAGGAATACGGGCCCTGAGAGTATTACACTGGCGGCCTATTACCTGAATGGGGTGATGAAACATAGGTATGTGTGCCCGATCATACAACAAAATTGGTTGAGCGGGAACGGGTACGATCCGGAGATTAAGCTGTTGATGAAAAGGAAGGAGGATCGTGAAAGGGGGCTCGGGACAGGTTAGGTTTGGTAACTTTGTGTTCAAGAAATTGCCCGGTCGAAGAATTAGAACAATGGAATTTCACATTGATGCATGCTGTTATGTGTGATTTAGGGAACTGGGGGAGACTTGTGGGCGCGGAAATATATACATATATGCAGTCCCAAGTCCTAGACCTCAGAGAAGAGGTGAATGACACGAAACATGAGCCGGTCAGTTATGTATGTCAACGTGAGGATAAAAGGTAAGGAAGGAAAGGGAAATGAAAGGTATGGCGCTGCTCCTTTCGAGTCTCGATGCAGGCAGACAATTCGGACGATTTGTACAGCTGTATATTCCAGCCAGAGCATTGGAAAAGTGTCCATGCACATGGTGGGCAGAGGATCGGAATTGATGCATGCTTGAATGATAGGCTGTATCTACTATCTTCAAGATTACACATTCTACTTGGTTGGGAAGGGTCATAAAACTATGGGAGCCTCAGGGGGAAAAGTCTCATCAATGTTTTCCTATGGCTGCTGATCCTTCACTGCAGTCCAACTTGGACTGCATCTCCAAAGGTAAGTATTTGTTCCAGGACCATAAGTTAAAATAGTAGTCTTACAACTACAATTCTTTGAAGACATTGACATGCCCTCTCCATATTCAGGCATGTAAATTTGCAAAATTTGAGAATACATAAACTATATTCCAGTCCACTAAGCATGTAACTAAAAATAGAGCTAGAGCATAAAGAAACATAGCCATTATGATGCTAAACTGAAGTAACAATAGGCAGAGTGCATGGCCTAGTGATAGACTAATACCAGGGGGGTTAGACTGCTTGAGAGGTCCCAGAACTTGGCCCCAAAATATGCCAATATCATTACAAGAAGACATGCTAAAAATAAAAAGAATATGATCAAAATATGATCAGCAATTCTGATCACATTGATCAAGGATGTGCATCCATTGATGTATGGATGAAACACACCTGAGAATAGAGAACTGAGATGCAAAGAAAGGTATCTGAATAATTAGATGTTGAACAGAGAAAAGAAAGGATGACAACAAAGTAATAAACAGAGAAATACTACCAAAGGGTGGATAGCACACATAGTGCTCAGAGACTTGCATGCATAATTATGATGCCTTAGTGTGCATAACACTGTGAGGGATTCTGCATCATCCCAAGATATGACACATACCTATTGGGTGGATTAATTGATGCATGCTAGACCATAAGTGGTGCATATTGTGAGTCAGACAGAATGCCTGGACACTGGGAAAGAGAACATAGTCATTGTGGCTGACTCCAGACATAAGAGATAACCCTGAGGGTCTGGAACAGTTCTCCAGTGTCAGGATGCTTCACCAGAGAAAGAAGAAAGTGAGCAGATCTGGCTAGGCCAGCTAGCTAATGTCAGCTAGTGAGAGAACAGTGGGCACAGTTCTGGCCCAGAACAGAATAAGCATAGCAACTGTGATATGTGCATGAATAACACCCATGGGATCTGGCATGGAGTCTCACACTTTGAAGATACCATAGTAGGACTGTATTAGTAAGTACCACAGTAGATATTTAAATACCACATTGTATGAGTAGAGAAAATGTTTCCAACCCCTCCACAGTTGCAGTGTATTAGGCACAGACAGCCTTGCACTATAGCTCTGAGTTTGTGTTTGTAACTTTGAGCAAGAGAATAGACTTGTTATTGATATTATTAAGAGAGATTTGAGAACTGAGCAAGGCACAGAAGCTCATGAGGAACTTGAGTTTGATTTGATAAGAGGTTTTAGATTGCACTCTAATCTGAGAATAAGAGAGTGGTGTCTGAAGAGCATCATCTTGAGTTTTTGAGGTATTTGTGATGTGTGGCACTATAGGTGGCGGAGGTTTGAACTCTTTGGCTTGATTACTGTGCACTTTTTGGTTATTTCCACAAGTTGGCAGAGGTTCAAACCCTTTGGGTCTGTCAGACAGTGTTTACTGTGTTTTGTGTCTCTGGATTGCATAGGTTTGAATCCTGTGGATCTATGATTGGTTTGGAAGCTTGTGCACAGAGATCTGAGCTCTTTGGCACTTGTGGATATGTTTGTGATTGGTTTCTGCTTAGAGCACTAAGCTTTGAGTCATGTATCATGTGTGTTAGGGACTTTGATTTGATCTGAACTATGCTTGGA